GGGTGACTGCACCCATCTCCCAGGGTAACCCTCTGGTGCTGTCCGCTTACCCTGGACAACCATATGTGCCGGGGCTGTCCACCTTTGGACAACGTGGGCCACAACTGAGGCCAGAAGGGCCTCCTCATATTCATAACATTGCCCACACTCAGGCACCCCTCAACCCCTCAGGGGCCTTCTGTGGGGGTGTGGAGCATCCTGGTCCATTCCTCGTGGCACCTTCTGGCCTAAGGACCACTGTGCCTGCTTCAGCCAGTGGGGGAATCCAGAACTATGGGGGCAACTGTCACCTGGGCCTTAGTCCCCCAGCACCACCACCATTTACAGACCTGGCCCCCATCATCTTCCCAATGAATGCCTGCCAATGGCCAGGTACAGAGTATGGGGAGGTCGCACTGCCCACCTTCCAGGCTACAGTGCCACCAGATGACTCCAGTGGACCTCAGAGCAACTATGAAGATTTCAGGCGCTGGCAGCATTTCAAGACCTTGGTCCGCAGGCACTTTCCTCAGACTCTAGATGTGGAAGCACTTTCTTGCTTCCTCATGTAAGTGATCTCCCCATGGACCCAGAACACCCTCTGGAACTCTAAGATTAGGAAAAGCGTGGGATGGACAAGGAGGCTGGGATGTAGAGAACTGGAAGGGAAGTCCTGAGGGTGGGGGACAAGCTGAGAGGCCAACATTCCCAGCCATATGCACCTCTCACCAGGGGAGAAAATGTGCCTTATCTCAGGTGCCCATCACAGCCCTGTGAGTTCAGCAATCTTTGTTTCCATCACATGGAGATCCCAAAGTCAGAGGAGGTTCTTGGGGTAACATGAGCCAGGATTTGTCTCACTCCATAAGATGGTTCCTTCCCTAGTAATTTTACCTTCCTCCATGGACCTGATTGTTCCCAGACAAAGGACATCACCAGCAGAAGTGGGTTTAGTGGTCCTGGCCCCAAGGGTGAACACTGCACACACCCACACACATTGTCCTGAAACCCCAATAAAGATCCTGTGATGATGTGGCACTCATGGGGGAGCTGACTTTGGATTCTGGATGGGGATGTTCATCTTTGCCCCGTATGTAACCCTGCTCCCAGGCCACTCTTTGCATGGTCTTGGTGAGCTTGGGCTGCCATACTGAACACCATAGACTGGGTAGATGAAACCCTAGAGATTCATTTCTCAGAGTTCTAGAGTTTAGAGTCTCAGATAAAAAGTGCCTGACCCAGAGTCCCATGAGGGCTCTGTCTTCTCCAGGAATTAGTGAATGCCATCATGAAGCCCCACCCTCAGCATCTCATCTAACCCTCTAAGCACTAAAGCCTGCCTCCAGATACCACCATATTGGGGGTTATGACTTCAACAGGTGGATTTGGGAGGATAAAAAGTCATTGAGCACCTAGTACACCATACCACTGAAAAATCCCAAGGCCAGTGCAGACCTTGGTGTTATTGTTTGGCATAAGGAACAGTGTCCTGGATTCTAAATACAAATGCTTTGAGAGGAATATGATGGGGCAGATATAACAAAGGTAGGAGGGAAATTTGGGAAGATGAGAATGGAGGGTGACCTTGTGCACCGTGACTGATCCCAATGAATTCCAGCCCAGTGCTTCGGACTCTCTCTGAACTGGAGCCCACCATAAGCATGGAGGAGGCCCTGTGGAAGGGTGTGCAGGAATGGCAGCGCACTAGCAACTTTGACCGGGTGGCCTTCTATGAGACTGCAGAAAAGTGAGTCAGGTTTCAGGGCCCGGACCTGAGTGCTGGAGGATCATGGTTTGCACAGCAGGGTCTGATAGGGCCTGTCTCCTATCTAAATATTGGTTCCAAGGCATCTGGCTCTCCAGATAGTGCCTCCCTCTAGGCCTGGGCATTCTCTCTGCAACAATCCCAGAAACTTCAGCCTTAATGTTCATGATTCCAACTCTGCCTTGAGATTCAGGGTCAAGATGGGGAGCAGCTTTGTTGGCTCTGCAGAGGGAAAAAGTCCCACTAGCCTTACATAGGCCACCTGTCTGGGAACTGGCACCTGTTTACAGAGTAGGGACTACATGAGGTCATGAAAATGGCCACTACTTCAACCTGATGTTCCAGAAGAGGGTGGCAGTGGAGAGTGCATGGTCAGGGGCATCCAGCACCTCAGATGCCCTGAGGACATATCCCTGGACTTTATTGCCCTTTCTCTATATAATCCCTGCCATTCTAACAAGTGAAGAGAAGAAAAAGTACCCACCCTCATTGGAAGCAACCAATGTTCTCATTTAGCTTCCATTTTCACATGACCTCTCCTGTCCCTTGGTCTCCCACATGATCCTTCCAGGGCTCATTGTCCCAGCCTCAGTGTCCCTGAATTGGATCAGGACACCTGGTGTTCCCTGATATAAATCACATCCCTACCAGCTTCTGGCACTTTCCTGGTCTGTGTGGTTCCTGGCAGAAACAGGAGAGATCTGAAACAAGGGTCAGAAAGGGGCCCTACCTGGGTCCCTCAGATCTGATTCCCTTCAGGTGCTGGCTGATTCAGTGTTTCCCCAGAACTGTGGTTCTTCCTGTGTAGCAGCTCCCTCCTGGGACTGGTCCAGCCCACTCCAGAACATAGTTCCACATCCCTGCCCTCAGCTCCCCCGGGTATGGGGCTAGTAACTGCCTGGTATATAGGTCTCTCAGCTTGTCTCATATCTACCTGGTATGGCTGACCTGCTCCTCAGTTCAGCCAGTGCCTCCGTTACCCAAACCTCACCTAGGTACATGGAGTTTGAAGCTGCAGAGGAGATGGAGGATCCAAGGATGCAGCTGTCAGGGGTCTTCCAGTGCCAACCTCCTTCTGTATCTCTAAGGAGGGATTTTCCAAGGCCCCCAGCCCCTAAGGCTGTGCAACAACCAGGTAGGGCCCCTGCTTTTCCACAGAAACCCCTGATGGTGTCCAAAGTGTGCCAAGGGCCAAGGCAAGTTGTTGTCCCCAATAAGAACTTTACCTTCAGCATGGGGCATTCAGTATTTCAAGAACAGCCTCTAGCACCTGAGATCCATGCTACCCATTTTGTTGAACTGCGTATTGACTGTGCCAAGTACATAGCTCCCCTTTCTCCCTGCCTTTCCAAAGAACCAACATACCATGTGCCCATGACTTGAGTCTGGCTGGGCAGAATGCATGGTATATCAGTGGCTCCAAATTTCCTCCCACGTGACTCACCTAGATGTTGCGCCTGGTGCACTGTTATCTCTCTTGGGTCCTCCTATGGTTGTCCTAGTGCATGGTAGACCAGGTTAAGCCTGCCTACTACCAAGTGTTTGGCATAAAGGTGGATCCCCCATCCATGCACTGTTCTGGTACTCCTTGTCCTAGTGTGCAACTCCAGAAAGACCACCCCTAAGGCACAGTGTGCCCACTCAGTACCAGCCAAACGCAAGGCACCAGAGACTAAGATGTGTGAGACCAAGGTGCCAGAGGAGATCCCACCTGAAGTCATCCAAGAGCTCATGGACATCCTGGATGAGCTAGTCGGGCCTACCAACATTGCCACGTGGGAGCCGTTTCACTTGTCTATAGAAGATATTGCTGCAAACTTGGGAGAGGAAGGACTGGAGCATCAGCCAATGGAGGATGATTTATATCCAGATCCAAGTCTCCTGAGCTACATTGATGAGGGCTTTGTCAACAAGGTGGGCTGGGCATACAATCTTGCTCTCTACAAGGTTTTAGGACCCGTAGAATTGAGCTTCATAGCTTAGATTCTCAGTATTGTGTTCATGTGTGTGTGTGTGCACACATGCGCTTGTATACATGTGTGTAGCTAGTGGATGGGATTTATTAACCCTGTGGTATGGACCAAGATGGGGTCATCTTTGCCTCTTGTTCTCCTAGAAGTCTTCCTGATTTGGGGCCATTTTCTCCCCAAGGTCACTCACAATCTCTTCTTTCTCCTCCTAGATGGAAACCATGATTAACCCCCACTTCTTGGAAGAATTACTTTCCTCCGAATCATATATAAATATCGTGGACATAACAAAACAGTTGGAGCAGGAAGAAGGACTTATCCCTAACCAGGTAGAGGAGGGAAGGAGGGTCTCCCAGTAGACCAGGGGCAGGAGGTACACCAGTTATAAAAGATGGGCAGGGAGGGCTGGGTTTGTAGCTCAGGGGCAGAGCGCTTGTCTAGCATGTGTGAGGCACTGGGTTCGATTCTCAGCACCACAAATAAATAAGACAAAGGTACATTGACAACTAAAAAAAATTTTTTAAAAAAGAGAAAGGCAGAAACATCTGATAAACAAGTGTAGGGACACAAAGAACACCAGGGGTTGGGGAGAAACAAATGGTAGACAAGGAAAAAGGGGCACCAGGTATAATATGGAATTAGAGACACCAGGATAACTGGGACTTGGAGATGGACACCAAGTGGAGAAAGCAGACAGGATTACCTGGAAGATCAGGAGACAAGTAGACAGGAAAGGAAGTGGCCAGAGGTGAACAGGAAACCAAGGAATAGCAGGTAGATGAGAAATGTACAGGACCCTACTCACATGGCACACAGGAACTTGTCTATCCCTATCCTGCCTGTGACACATGGCTTATTGAGTGTGAATGCTCCAGGACAGAGGATGTAGGTGGGGGAAAAAAGGAAGGAGTCAGGAGAGTCATAACAGGCTCAGGGTATCAAGCTGAAAGGAAGCCCAGCAGGGTGGCCAGTAGAGGCTCAGTTTGTCTCTCTGAGACCAAGACGGGTGTCAGCTCCACTTCTCACCTCCCATGGAACTATGATGGTCCCTGGTCCCTCTGGCCCTCATCATGCATAAAGAAGACTTAGCCAGTGCCCATCTCCTGTAGATGGTGGAGAGGCACCTCTGCAGGTGCCCCAAGGTCATGTTATGTCCCAACAGGACTCAAGAGCTTCTGAGGCAGCTGCCAGCCAAGGAGCAGAGAAACGTAGACACTGCACTGACCACGGGGTCTGCACGCAGAACTGGCCCCCGGAGGTGACTTCCCAGGACGTGAAGAGGCGCAGGGCCACAGAGCCAGAACTGCTGGGTCCAAAGGACACTGCTATCCTCCCGAGCTGTCAAGTGTCTCCCTCACTGGGGGCCATCTGGTCCAACCATCCACCCCAGGACCGCAGATCCTCCTCCCCAAACCTGAGGGGGAAAGGTGCTGGTGGTCACAGAGGAGCCAATTCTTCTGGAGGGCCACATGGGACAGCCAATGGCTGCAGTGTGGACAATGACCTCCAATGCCTGGACTTCCTCCTAGTCTCCCAGCACTGTCTGCTGCCCTGGGCTCTGTGCCAGAGCCAGGGCCCTCGCATGGAACCCCTCTGCTCAGGAGACCAAGCACCCCAGGCCCCACCTGCCCAGACAGGCAGCCTCCTCCCCCATCCTCCTCCAGCTGCCATGTCCAAGAAGAGCGCTCTCACTGGACGCTCCCGCAAAGTGGAAAAGATGCCTCGCCCCAGGCCTCCCCTGGAGGTCACTGGAGGGAAAGACCTGCATCTGAAGCAGGTTCGAACCTCACAGCCTCAGAAGAGGAAGTGCAAGGCACCAGGCAACCCAAAGAAGAAAAGGAGGCTCTATAGACAGTAGGGCTGGTGGGTGGCCTCTGGGGTGGCTGCCCCTCAGGCGAGGTCTCACCCTTGTTTCATTCTGCACACCAAGAGTTCCTCCTCACTCGGGACAATTCCTGCTAGTCCTCAGGACAGGGAAGGGAAGGGGATTGGGAAGGGGAGGGCAGAGGGAGGCTACTGAGAGGGAGGGGGTGGGATGTTCAAGCCTGGAGGGAAGATGGACCTTGTTGGCCTTGTGTCACTGGGAATAAAGGCAGATTTGTAGGAAAAATCTTCTCAGGCTGCTGCTTCTGCCATAGAGTCTGTGTAGCACCATGCAGTGAGAACTGAGAGGAGGAGGTAACTGGAGATGCCAGGCACCAGGGCGCACAAGTGTCTGTCCACTGGGTCTTGCCTCTGGATTGAGGCTGGTCCTTCCACTGGTCCTGGGAGAAAAGAGCCAACAAGCTCCCAGAACCCCACTCATCACCCCACTGAAAAGGGGTCACTTGGTTTAGGGGATCTTGTCTCTGTGCAAGGGTCATGATCTGTGTCCCTTAAACATCTCTCTTACCAATCATCTGAGGGCCAGGCATGAAGAGGAATCACGAAGAGCCAAAGCACATCTCCCTTGGTGTTGGCAGCTCTGAGGTCTGAGGACAGATTGGTGGCTCTCAGATCTTAGTGTTAACAGCCCTGAAGTTGAACGTCAGTGACCCTCAGCTTCTAGTGGTAGCAGCTCTCCTGTTGCTTTCCTGGGAGCAGTAGCCAGCCATTTCCAACACTTCCCTGGAGATCATCTGACGGCCAGACCTAGCACCTCCTGTAACTCTCCACTGCTCTGGGTCACTCTCTGTGCTCACCACCCTCAGGTTGACCTGCCCAGTTTGCCAGTTTTCAGTGCAACCAACTTGACCTGCTCCAGTTGAGATGAGAGTCATGAACATCAACTCTACCCATCCCTAAGAGCCTTCATTAGGACTCATGCTGTGGCAGAAGGGGAAGTGGCAGAGGGACTGTCTGCATCAGGAGATGGGGAAGGAATCCTATTTGAACTAAAAAGGTGAACTCAGGCATGCACAGTGTCCTTCCAGATACCCACAGTCTTTCTCCATAGGCACAGGCAGGGGAGGGGCTCCTTGGGCATCAGACTGGGGACCACTGAAGGGCCCCAAAGGGATGGAGTCATCTAGAGCCACTCCACTACTGGGTGGAATCATCGGGGTGGACCTGTATGGAAACAAAAGGCTCGAGTACTGTGAGGCATTTGTGGCAGCCATGAGCATCACAGGCAGGGGCACAATTTTTTATCAAGTGCCTCTTAACAGCTTTGGGCCCTCTTGACTCATTTTGATGGAGGGATGCTTTTGGCTCTTGGTCTCCCTGTGCCTTTAAACATGTTTCTAGAAGTAAGCCTGGAAATAGTGTTATTTTTTAGACAGTTTCTTTCTCCTCCCATGAATGATGCTGGACAGTGAGTTTGGACTGATCCCCAGCATGGCCATGGTCTTCCTGAGTAGGTGGCCTGATGAGAGGACAAGGCCTGGCTTCTAGGGGAAGAAGTCACAGCACCCTAGGGAAATGTCAACTGACACCACCAGCAAGAACCACTCCCTCAATTACTGATGTGCTCTGCTTTCTGACGGTGACCACAGGGACTGGCCCCTTGTGGATGGATGCCCTTTGTTAGCTGCACCTTCATTGAAACTCAGTTGAAGAAGCTCCTCCTGGTCTCTCTGCACTGGGTAGGGTTGGTCAGAGTCTCCTGTTTCCCGGGACCTTGGCCAGCCTGTGCCATGCTAGTCAACAGCTGAGCCGTGGTCTGCTAACATCTTAAAATTTTTGCTTTAGCTCATTATAAAAAACTTTAGGAGGACCTTCTCATGACACACATCACTCATCAAATATTAGAATTCTAAGGTTTTCAGTAGGCTTTCGTAGACTGTGCCTCCATATCAGCAATAAATTCATAGACATAGGCAAAGAGGGCTGAACTGAGGGAAGGGGTCTAGAGAGATCTATAACATAGGGGGCAGTAAGGAGGAACCTTAGGGACTGCCATCAAAGAGGAATTAGTTCCATGGAGTGGGTAGGAGGCCTCCCGGCTAGAGAGCTGTGTGAACAAAGCCATGAAGTCTCTTGATTCTCTTCAAAACAAAAGAAAGCTGCAATTTTGGGCACTTTTTCTTTGCATAAGAAATTTGATGCAAACACTTACCACCTAGTGGAATAGAAACCCTTAGGGAGTGGCAGTAGAGTTTTTAGGCCTAGGGATATGTCAGAGGTAGACATTGGAAGAGACATCTGATGTATGTGTCAGCTTTTTGTAACTAAGACAAAATACCTGGGAAAACCAAGTTATAAAGAGGAAATTTATTTTATGTCCTGGTTTCACAGGTTTGTACCTCTGTTACATGTAACTTGGACACATTGCTTGTAGGAGGCCTGTGGGAGAACAGTACACCACAGCAGGCGCACATGGTGGAGGAGTCCTTTTCACTTCATGGCAGCAAGGAAGCAAATGTGGGGACATGGTCCCAACATCATGTCCAGAGCACACCCCCAATTCCTAGGCTCTGCTGCTTAAAGGTTCTGCCATCTCCTGATAGTGCCACAGGCCAGCACCGAAGCCTTTTGCCCATGAACTTTTGGGAGTCACTTAAGATCCGAGCCATAACACTGTAATGATCCAGAGCTCCTCCTAGGAAAGTAAGAGGGTTTGATCTGAGGCACCCCTTAGTGCCCTTCCAGCACCAGGATTCTCAGCTCCTCCAGTTCTAGGAGGTGGTGGGAAGCCCTGCGTCCTGAGGTTGTGAGTTGAGTGTTCATCAACCTGGAGGGAGAAGGCTCCTGAGTGTTAGAAGGGAGGAGACAAAGCTGCCTGGAATCAGGGCAGGCAGGAGGGGTCCAGAGCAGGGTGGCAGTGGGATGCGGATGCAGGAAGAGTGGGGGCCCCAGAATCAGAGATGATGCTGATAATGGGCCCTTCCTCCTCCAGCAAATCCCAGGCACCACAGGACTATGAGGTCCTCCTGGGGAACACCGAGCTGTACCAGCACACCCAGCGCACCCAGAAGATGCTCGGGTAGTTTCTGACCCTTGACTGGACGTTGGCCCCCCTGTCCCTCATTTCCATGCCCTCTCAGGTGAGAATTAAGCAGTGCTACATCCCTTTTAGTCTGAAAATATATGAGTCCATGGCTGCTGAATCCCATGTGGCACAGAACCTGAAAGCCTAGGGATCTGGACATTGTGAATCAAGAGTCTGGATTCCATAAGTCTTTGTGGATTTTGATTCTAATATTTTAAACAGCCATGTATTTGAGATGACATGAATGAACTCAGAACCTGACCTTGGGGGCTTTCCCATCCAGGGTGTTAGTGAGGTTTTCATTACTATAACAAAACATCTGAGATAATCAACTGAAAAAGAAGAAAGGCTTATTGTGGCTCATGGTTTCTGAAGTGCATCCCATGGTCAGTTGGCCCCATTGCCTTGGGCCTGTGACATGGCAGCACACTGTGGCAGGAACACATTGTGGAGCAATGCTGATCAGGAAGGAGAGAGCAAGAGGAGGTGCCAGGTTTCTGACATCCCCTTTAAGGGCACACCTCCAGTGATCTAACCTACGCCAGCTACCTAAATTTTCCAGCACCTTCCAATAGTGCCACAGGTTGGGGCCAAGGCTTCAATACACAGGCCTTTGGGGACCTTGGGAAGGTGCTTGGGAAAGGTGTTAGAAAGGCACACGTGGGGTCCGACCCCAGAGCCTGCATAATGAAGTCAGAATAGTCACAACTTAGGAATGTTTAATGCTCTGACCTCACCCAGCTCCTCTCTTGTCCACTGCATGTTCATGTCAGGTGAACTGAATAGTGGAGAAAGCTCTAGTGTTTCTTGTTGCATTTTCATATGGAAAGAAGAGGATTTTAGGTGAAGACTTTTGCACAGGAAGATGTAATAAAGGATTGTGTGTGGTTTGAGAAAATGCTTCTGCCGTGCTTTCAAGGGGAAAAGAACAATACAGAATTGTAATTATCTGTGGGTCAGCATTTATTTCTCAACAGAGAAAGTTTCTGTGAAAGATTCTGGACAGATCCCCAGATTTTGGACTGATCCCCAGCATGGCCATGGCCTTCCTGAGTAGGTGATTCAATGAGAGGACAAGACCTGGCTTCTTGGGAAAGAAGTCACAGCACCCTGGGGAAACATCAAGTGTCGCCATCACCAACAAACCCCGCTGATTGGTGCACAAAATTCATGCAGTGTTCCCACTTCTTCTCTCCTGTAATTTGCTGATATTCTTTCATTTATTCGTAAGATTTAGTCATTGGATCCAGTCCTGCATTATCATTTTGAATGAATTGCTATCTGTTACTTCAATTAACATCTCAAACTCAGAGTGTTGGTTTTACCTTCACTTATTTCTGCTCTCTCCTATGTTGATCCAGGTTTCTGACTGATCTCATTTTCTGGCTCACTGAAGAACTTCTTTTAACATTTCTTTCAAGGCAGGTCTGCTGGTGACAAGTCCTCTCCAATTTTATTTGACTGGAAAGTCTTCATGTTTATTCTCCTTTGCAGGAGCATCTCACTGGCATAGAATTTTGGGTAAAGAGGAATTTTTTCCTCTCAACACTATATTTTTCATTGCCCCCTCTTCTGGCTTGCATAGTCTCTGAAGGAAAGTCTGATGTCATTCAGATCTTTGCTTCTCAGTGGATAAGGCATGCTTTCCCCCTATGGCTCCTTGAAGATTTTCTCCTTGTCTTTATTCTCTGCCATATGAATATGACATGCCCAGATGGAATGTTCTGGCATTTATTCTGCTCAATGATTTCTGTGGTTTGATAGCTGTTATGAGTTTTGGCAAATTTTCAGTCATTATTATTTCAAATATTTTTTCTTTCTTCTCTTCTGGTATTTCCCCTTTGCATGTGTTACAACTTTCATAATTATCCCATATTCTTGGGTATTCTGTTTTGTCATTGTTACCCATTTCTCTTTGCATCTGGGTTTGAGAAGTCTATATAACAAAC